CCTTTGTATTTTTTACAGTTTTCTCTTTCTATACATGTGGAGTAATTTTTATTTTATAATATGAAAAGAATAACAACAACAAAAAACCAAGTGAAGGAAAGCAAACAAACTTAGCAGATAATAACAGTAATTATGTGGAAATGTGATAATAATGTTGAAATGAATAAAATGCTTAATGTGCTAAGATTGTTATTATTTGCAGCTTCCCATGGAAACTGGAGGACATCCTTTTTGCCTTTGCCTCTTCCTTGTCTAACTGTTTTTAAGTCCCCGAAACCCTGCCCCCTTACAGGATATCACTTCTACAGATGTGCAATGATGAAAAGCAGCAACAACCCCTCAACTTAGCCATCACAAGACCTGCAACACCAGAGTTTTCAAGTGCCCACAGCTATCTCTTTCAAAGGATATAGACTGCCAGGGGAGTGGGCCTGACAAAGGGGGGTGGAGTTGACTTGCAAGGACATCTTTTCACTTGAACCTCAAGCCTCTGCACTCCAGAATTCAAAAGATACATGCGTAAAAGATCACAATTGTGTCAAGATATGCAACTGATATTTAATTAGTTTGTTTTGTATTAAGTGTTATTATGTAGGAATGTTGAAATGTGTCTGACAGTGTGTTATTTCCACAAGGGGGGGTATTTTTGTGTGTAATTTTTATGTTTAATGTCTTATTGCTTGCACACCAATTCTCATGCATTTTATACTTTCTGATAGCTCACACTATTGTGTAGTCCAATGTTAGATAACCACATTTCATTGTCCCACTTGGCACTCTGCCAACTTTCCCTATCCATTTTAAAATGTGCTAAAACTTGCTTTACCAAGGAGAAGCTTATAAGATACATGAAGGTGCACATGCTTTGGTTTAGCAGGAATGATCCCTTATAGAGTTAAATTGACTTATTTGGACAAAGTGCCCTTTTAAGAACGGTTTTCCTTTAACAGATTGGTTTGAGGACTTGAGAACCATGGGCACATAAATTCAAATTGGACTCAGTTTGAATTGGGCAAGTGTATCCAGGCTGCAATTAGCTTTTTGGTCCTTAAAGTGCAAGTGAGCAGCTTCCCAGGATGCAAGACCAGAGCCTGTAATAATAATAAGAAATCCCATGGATTTTGGCCAAGGCAAAGGCATTTCTCTCAGGACGTGCCCGAAACCTGTGCCAGCTGTGGTGGGTGCCAGGCAACATGAAAGCCCTAAGTGGATTCAGCAGGGATTGCCACTACTGCGACACCATGCCGATGTGAGACCACAGAAGAGCTACCTTGACACCTGAGAACACACAAATGGGTGGGGGGGAAGCAAACTGCACTTTTCAGTCATTAGTGGACCTTCCTGCCTAAATGTAAAGCATAGATCACTATTGAGAAAATATTTCTTCCAAGGTGCTAGAATACCAGGTTATTATTTACCACCTTAAATTGTGCGGAGAAAAGGATTGCAAAGTAGCCACCTTTGCAATCTTATCTCCGAAGGGGGGAACTGTAGCAGGAAACCCCCCACCCCAATCATTCTGCTTGTACAAACTTCACACACACACACACTCACACACTACATACGCCACATTTCTGTTATAAATTCATAGAAAATCAACCATACATTGGATTTGCACTGTTCCATTTTTATTTTACTCCATATGACAAGAACTAACAGAAGGGGAGGGGGGTTTGACCCTGGTCAGCCAGAATCCCTTCACTGTCTCAGCACATCTGCAGGAGCCCTGCCCAGATGATCCCAGACAGAAGACAATCAAAATCACAAAGAACAGTGGATTCACCACAGACTGAAACAAAGGAGAATGATCAGATCTTCCCTCTGGGGGCAGGAAACTGCAAACTCCCCATTGTCACCTGGAAGGCACTCATGGGGAGGGGGAAAGGAGGAACCAGCTAGGTGACTGGACACTCAGGTTACCACCACCAACTCCTCCCTCAACCCCTCCTTTCTGTAATGTATGCATGATGTCAACTCCTTTCTGTAATGTATGCATGATGTTTCTGGGGGTGGGCTTGAGCTAGAGGAGGGGAATTTCAAAAGTTTTTATAAGGTCTTGCAGCCCATTGTTCTGGGTCTTTCCTCTCTCCTGCAAGTGAGGGGAACACCCTGATGCATCAGTGCAATAAAGGCCAAGCCTACAGGCTGCTGTTTTGCTCCAAGTTATCCTGGTTGGTGTCTTTGTTTTTGTCCAAGAGAGCCCTCAGATTTTTCCGTTAACAGCTATAACCTGCCCTGGGACCTTAGGGTGAAGGGAAGATAATACATTGTAACAACAACAACAACAACAGGCATCAGAGCATCCAATAGAACTCAGCAGGGTTTGACATTCACCTGAAAGATGGGGAAAATTCTAGAAAACTGAGGGAAAAAGGAGTCTTTAGCTGTCATTCATACACATTTTCCATTGGTTGAAAAAATATGAAGAGTTTTAATGATGGATAATTTGTCTTATCATCTGGAGAATAGTTTTGTTTACTTGCCTTGCGCTGTTTGAATCATTTCAGTTTATTGTATACAATGAACTTTTTTAATCACATGGTGACCATGACTGGTCTTTCTTTCTTTCTCTCTCTTGCTACATTCATTGCATTATGTTTATGTATGATGTACAGTACCCTTGGGCTTTTTCTAAGGTGGTTATATAAACACCTGGGTTGTATATTTATTTATTTATGGTATATCCATCATGATAGGGGAACAGTCAATTCAGGACCATCTTGAAGCTGGTGCAATGCATCTTTTGACAAGGCTGCTGACACCAAAAGAACTTGCAAATCCTGGTTTATTTCTGGACAGAACTATCAGTTTTCCCACAATAAACTGACCCTATGGGGAAATCCAACTTTAAAAACTGGAGGAAATTGTATTATGGAAAAAAATATTATCCTTAGATCAATTAGTAGATGAGAATGATTTTTATTTTTACATGTTACATTAATATAAAAGTATTGCTTAACGGGAATGGCACAGTAGCAATGTTTACAATTGCAACACATGCTAACATATTTATTCGGACTGGCAGCTTTTATAGCATCCAAGAAGCTGGACATACTCAAACACTTGAACCTTAGAGGCTAAAAAACCAGCTATTACTTTTTATAGATATTTGGTATCTTTTCGTCAATTTTTTATCAAATGCTTGCAGATAGGATTGCCAATGCTACATTCTGTACAGTATTGATAGTAATGTCCTGTATTTCAGGTTTTTTCTTTCTTTCTGACAGATTAGGGATCCTCTCCAAATACTTGTGTTTGAAAGGGTGTGTGAAACATAATAATAATAATAATAATAATAATTATTATTATTATTATTATTATTTATACCCCACCCTCCCCAGCCAGGGACGTGGGTGGCGCTGTGGGTAAAAGCCTCAGCGCCTAGAGCTTGCCGATCGAAAGGTCGGCGGTTCGAATCCCCGCGGCAGGGTGCGCTCCCGCCGTTCGGTCCCAGCGCCTGCCAACCTAGCAGTTCGAAAGCACCCCCGGGTGCAAGTAGATAAATAGGGACCGCTTACAAGCGGGAAGGTAAACGGCGTTTCCGTGTGCGGCTCTGGCTCACCAGAGCAGCGATGTCACGCTGGCCACGTGACCCGGAAGTGTCTCCGGACAGCGCTGGCCCCCGGCCTCTTGAGTGAGATGGGCGCACAACCCTAGAGTCTGGCAAGACTGGCCCGTACGGGCAGGGGTACCTTTACCTTTTACTCCCCAGCCAAGGCCGGGCTCAGAGCGTCTTACAAGCAATAATAAAAACAAGTTGAATGATTACAACTTAAAAACAAAATTAAAATACATTAAAATATTGAAACATTAAAATATTAAAATGTAGCCTCATCGCAGGAGGAGAAGGAAAGGAAAAAAGAAAGAGAGGGAGGGAATCAAATTGGCTCCAAGCCAAAAGCTAGGTGGAACAATTCTGTCTTACAGACCCTGCGGAAAGAAATCAGATCCTGCAGGGCCCTGGTCTCATGAGGCAGAGCGTTCCACCAGGCCGGAGCCAGAGTTGAAAAGACCCTGGCTCTGGTTGAAGCCAATCATGTATTGAAGCTGTGGATAACCAAGCACCAATTTACATATTTATGTGTCTGTGTCAATGTTCAAAACTCTAACTGTTTTAGGCACATTTTGCGACAGGTAATTTCATTAGTGTGAGCTGTTTCTGAGCTCTGGGCGCAGTACCCAAGATTTCAGATTAAAACTGCAGTGGAAGGAAGGAGGACCTTGTTCTGCCTCCACTTCCATCTACTCTCTGAAGACTGGAGAAGAGACCCTCTTAAGAATATTAGGAGGGTGGGCAGGGGAAGGACGAGAGTAGACCATGTGAAAAATGAACATAATATTTTAGCTGCAGTTCATTCATTTTCAGCTTTGTATTCTTGCTATTATAAAGCACACCTAGACATTCCGTTGTTGCGTCCACAACCTAGATTTAAGTGCCATTTAGCTCCTAGCTTTCATATATCGGTTTCTATCCTAACACTGGTCTGTGTTGTGCGCGACAAATTCCAGAGAGGCCATCCTGTTAGGCTGCATTAAACTGTAATGGGTTGCTTTGAAGCCACTTCAGTGCCAGATGGAAAAAAATCGCCCCCCAACAGCCCCACCCTGTATTTTGCGAGAACAAAGGTGGCAACCCAGTTGCAGAAGACCGCCCCCCTTCAAAACCTGTCAGGGTGGAGAACTCTGTCTCAGCTCCATTCCTTTAGCGCCCCTTAGTTGTACAGTGGAGAAGCCCCTCCGCCCCTTTGAGCAACGATAATACCCACAATACACCTCACTCACTCAAGTCGCTCTCTAGCCCGCCATCCACCCTCTAAGACCTGATTGGCTCAGACGGGGGAGGAGTCGGAGAGAGGATTGGCGAGAAGGGCCAGCCAATCCCCGGGCGTCGCCACGCCCCCGCTTCCTCTGCCATTGGCCATCTCTTCTACCTGGGCCCCGCCGAGGATTGGACTTGTGGAAGTTCCCCCTCCCCAACTCGTTCTCGCGCTTCAGAGCGGGGTGGGCGGGGCTGCTGTACGTTGCGGTGCCCGCGGATTGGCCAGTGCCTCACCTGCGGGGCACGGCTATTGGCCGTGCGCGTCTCCCCCTCCGCCCACTCCCATTTGCCGCCCCGCCCCGTGTGTGCCGCCCGATTGGCTGTGGCGGCCCGGCCCGGTATCCGGGTAAGATGGCCGCGGTAGGAGAGTGCTCGGTCTCTGTTCCGTGGAAGTCGGTTTCCCTCACTCACGTCGAGTACCCAGAAGGTAAAGCCTCCAGCCTCCGGCGCTTCGCGGAGCCTGTTTTCTTCTCTCCGCTGTGGGTGGGCCTTTCGCCCTACGCCCAATTCATATCCGTGAAAAAAGGCGAGGTTTGGGCTTCGGGGAGTTCCTGAGGGGATCGGGTGGGAGCTGCCAAATAGTGAGCCATTGACTAGCAGCGCTGTGAAGCCGGGCGGCGGCGCATGCGCGCTTCGGCTGCCGCTCTTTGCGAGATAGTGTACTTCGGAGGCTGCAGTGCGCATGCGCGGCACCCTTTCTGCTTTGGATTTCTCGCCCCAAGAGTGCAGAGTTTTTTTGGGGGGGGGATCACCTTTACATTTATTGTATTTATTATGGTCCCGCTTCCGATAACCTATTGGCACCTCCCTCTTCCTGGCCGCTTCCATCTAGATCTATTCTGTTTTATTAGAGTTAAGTTTTCTTTTGACATGCCTCTTTGTCACACCAGTTACTAGATGCTACTTTTGCAGGATCACAGACCCATTCCTGGAGAGATCCTTTTCCTAACATACTTGGAACACAGAACGCTGCCTTATATTGGGCCAGACCTTTGTTCTTTCTAGGGCAGTGCTGTCCACACTGACGGGCAGCAGCTCTACAGGGTTTCAGGTGGGGAGGGGGGCAGAAATGTATTTTCCCGAACGCTACTTTGAGATGCTGTTAGGGATTGAAGCCAAGACCTTACACATGCAAAGCAGGTGCTCCTACCACTGAGCCAAATGCCCTTCCTCCGAAATAAAATAAGATTCTAGTCTTTGTGCTTTTAAATAAAGGGTGGGATTCAACACAGTGCTAAGGTGATTGTTTTCACAATGCAGGGGGAGGTGCAGAGGAGGGGGAACCTAGCTAGCAAGAGTACTTGCACTGATTTCCACTAGTGCAGTAGTTCTTAAAGGGTGTGGCGTGCCATACTGGTGTGACAGGAGAGGGTGGCAAGTGTGGCAGGAAGATTCAATGACAATCAAATAAACATTTAAACATTTCAATATTATACGTAAAATATTTAAGTATAGTATCGTATAATATAGCATCAAAATGTTTTTTTTAGATATACAACCAGAGACAGTATCCATGCCTCTTTTCAAGAGTGTTGGCTATTTATCTACCATTTTCCACAACATATTGTTGTGAATGGGGATTTTCAACTGACAGATAAGAAACGGCAGAAAAGAGAAAGGTTTCTTTGTGTTGATGAGATGAGAGTTTATTTGTCTCAAATTAGACATAATATAAATGAGATTACTTGGCAAAAGCAAGCTCATACCTCTCATTGAATTTGTATAAATATGTAAGGTACATATTAAAAGGCTTGTTTATAATTCTATTTTGGGAATTATTTCTGTTCTTATGTAGTTGCATTTTTTAATACTTTCTGGATGTCCCACAATCAAATTATAAAGTAGTTGTGTTGTATGTTTTAATCAAGCATTGCTAGGACTCGTTTCTTTTTGTTTTCCAATGTATTTCTTATCAATAAAAATATTGGTGTAGCACAAGCAAATTTTTATTCTGAAAGTATGACCCAGAGAAAAAAGTTTGAGAACCACTGGAGGAGCAGAACAGAGTAGTTGAATCTGGTCCAAAGGGGTGATTGAAATAATAACTCAGATCATTGTCTTGTCTAGCTCAGAACTGTCTACACTGACTAGGAGAAGTTTTTGAGGGTTTCAGCCAGGGACTCTTCTCCCCGCACTAACTAAAGGTGCTGCATGTGGGAACCTGGCACCTTCTGCATGCTAAAGATGTGCTCTGCTACTGAATTGTGTCCCTTCCAAATAACATGTAAAGCTATGTTATTCAGAGTCAGACCCTTGATCCATCTAGCTCAGTATATTGCTCATACTGAGTGGAGGAAGCTCTCCTGATTTTGAAAGAGGGCTCATACCTGGAATTGTCTGCATGCTAAGCATGTGCTCTGTTATGCTTTTTTTCTAGGAAGCTTGCAGGCAGGGTGCAAAAGCACCAGTCTTTCCTGCCTCCCATCATGTGACCGTGCAGCCATTGGCATTTAGAAGTAAACTATCTCTGAATAATGGGTTTCTAAATGATCAACAGGATAAACCCTAATGGTGCAAAATTGTATTAGGGTCAGTGGCTGAGGAAGGGGGTCGCAGTGGGTGCGGGCCGCCCCGGGTGTCATCACTGAGGGGGGGTGACAAAAATATGAGATAAAAAAAGGACTCATAAAACTTTTTAGTTCAGTCAAGAAACTTAATGAAACATGGCTGGCACTGGGCGCCACACCGCGGGGCTGGCACTAACCACGGGGCCTGCAGCATGCCCAAGCCACACGTTTCTTCTGGGAGTGACATGGTGGCTTGGGTGCCTGCAGGCTCCACGCTGCCTGAAATGGCTGCGTGGGGCTTATATCTGCCCACTGCCTCTCCCTCAGCAGCCCTATAGCTGAGGGGAAGGTGGTGGAGAGGCTCCATGCAGCTTGCCCTACTTCCATGGGCAGATCGCCCCGACCCTGGCTGCAGGACGCATGCACCGTACCAGGTGCCTGAGTGGCTAGCTACACCGATGATTAGGGTTTGGTGTTTTGTTTTGTTTTGTTTTTTTACATTTTTTCCACATATCTTTTTCAAGGAACTCAAGACAGCATACATGAATCTTTTCCATCCTATCAATTTTGCCCTCAGAACAACTTTGCATTGTTGTTGTTTGACTGAAAGATAATGACTGGCCCACGGTCACCCAGTGAGATCCCAACACTCTTAACCACTGCTATGAACACCTGGATGTCTCTAGAGAGCACCTGAATAGGAACATAGGGAGCTACCTTATACCGAGTCAAATCATTGGTCTAGTATTGTCTATACCACCCTTTCTCAACCATGGGTTCCCAGATGTTGTTGGACTACAACACCCATCATCCCTAACCACTAGTCCTACTAGCTAGGGAAGATGGGAGTTGTAGTCCAACAACCTCTGAGGACCCAGGGTTGAGAAATGCTGGTCTATACTGACTAGAAGCTACTCTCCATGATTTCAGGCAAGGAATCTTTCACAGCCCTACCTGGGAATACTGCTGAGGATTGAACTTGGGACCTTCTGCATGCAAAGGAGACTCCCCACTGATTTTGTAATGTATCTGTAAAGCTTCATTTGACTGTACATTTGCTTGGGATTGTCCTGCTGATTTCAGGAGACTTGTTTAAAGAATAATTTATATGGCTGTATTAGTGTGCATGTCACTTTTCAAAACAAAGCCTAAAATGTTTGTGCTTTACAAGTTCTGTGATCCATCTCTTGCCTGGCATTTAATTTTTAAACTTTAAAAGCAGCTACAGAATGTTCTGATTTTGATCAGAACTGGGATGATGAAAGGAATGCGTTAGTTAGTTTCCTTGATCTAAATCCCCTCCTCACAAAAAACTGCTATTCATCCTGATGAGCAAAATAAAAATACAGGCAACTGTATCACCACCACCACCACAATGGGGGCATGATAGCATATTTTTTTAAGTGAAGGGAAAGGGTTAAATTCAACTGCTTTCAAGTAACAAAATGACAGGATGACCAGTAACAAATCTGCATCATACACACCAAGGGGTAGGGGGAGAAATCCCTGCCCCAAGCCACTTGCAGTCTAAACTTCTACTTTACATGTACCAGCAAAATGTACCAAAGGACAGATGGGAGTGAATGGAGTTGCAATGCCAGGGAAGCTTTGCCTCTCCAGATGTTGCCTTACTAAAGTTCCCATCAGCACCAGCCGCCAATGCCAGGGATTATGAGAATTATCGTTCAGTAGCATCTGGAGGGCCACAGGTTCCTCACACCTGACTTAGATTGTGTGTGTGTTGTCTCAGTTTAGGGAAGAGGTGACTTGGAGGAGGAGGAGGAGGGAGGCATTCTGGGAGTGAGTTCCAGGCATAGGGAACAGCTATGTAGGATGGGAGGGTTTTTAAGGGAGCAGGAGGAGATCATTGGGTGGCAGAGTTAGGATCAGCTTCTACGTTTGTAACTGGATCTCCCAACCTTGCTAGCCTGTGGCCTATTTATTTATTCATTTGAACTCTGAATATTTCAGTAACTCAGAGCTTTAAATTCTGACATGACTTAGTGCTGCCATTTGCTCTCTTAAGTGCCAGAGCCCAACCCTAAAATAGTGGAAAGTGCTTCTGAGAAGGTTTGGAGTGCATTTCCCCTGAGTAACCAACCGAAAGAGGTCTCTTTGTGTCCAGGCTTCCATACTAGGGTGTGGTATTTCCAGGCAGACCTGCAACTTGGTATTCTTGTTTTTTTCATTTCCAGACACTAAGCACTGTGGGAGTTAGACGCATTGTGGTAATGGGGGGGGGGGGAATCACATGTATTATTTATCTCTTCTTTCTGATACTTGGCTCCCTTACCTTGTGCTTCCTGCATTAAACTGGGATTTCTTTCCGCCTGGCAAGCTGACTGTAGAGGAGTATTCTAGAGTTGTGTGCGTGCTGCTGAGAAAGCCCACTCAATTCCCATGATTTTGGCACGGGGGTGGGGAGAGGCAGAGCTTCTGAGTGAGAGAATGTATGGCTTTCAGGCCAGCCCAAACTCATCCTTTGATTCCTCCACGCACCCACCCGCACACACATCCATTAACTAATGGAATTATTGGATTCAGTTTTTATAAAGATTGCATGCTGGAAGACAGGGCAGGAGATAAAAATCTCCAAAGCCGCACCTTATATACTCTGAAAAGCATAGTTCGGCAGTAGAGCAGCTGCTTTGCATGCAGAAGGTCCCAGGTTCAATTCCACCCTGGGGATGCTGTGATGACATGCTGCCAGCTTGTGTAAGCCATAGTGAACTAGTTGGACCAATGTTAATGCCTTGGTCGAGGCCACTTCCCAAAAGCAGGTGACATATCGGGTTGTTCCTTATATACAAAGAAAATGGAAGTAAATGATCATAGGCAGCATCCTCTTCATATTTCTAACCCAGGGTATATAACGCCAGTGGGAGCCAGTAAGCTGCTGAATGCTTCTTAATGGAAACTG